ACCATCTTATGTGTCAATTCGTGAATCTCGTGAGCGATGCAAATGAATATGAATGACGTGATCACGACGTTCAGCACCGGATAGCTCGGCACCAGCACTAGTATGCCGTGAGTATCCGCGCCCAACCATATGTGATACTGGCATATGAATAGCTGTCAACGAATCATATTTCAAACAAATAATAGTATCAAATGTGTGCTTAAAATTAGACTTTAAAATTAAAAACAAAGTTATTTGTTTACTTCGAGAGATATTTTGCCGATTCTGGCAAAGAAAGTGCTGTGTCTGACCCGCAAGAGGCCCGATATGTTACGTAACACTATGTATGACACGATCTATTCGTATATAAAATGTTTATAATTAGCGTTTTATACAATTAACTGAAACAATAGAATAGATTCTGATCATAATTACCGGTATAAATGAAATATAGGGATGAATTTCATTGCATTCGGGTTTATTACGACAAATCATTGTAAACACGACATACATCTGAAACCCAATATTAAATGTTTTATTTATAAAATCAAATGCAAAAAAAATAATACCATTATTCCCGCAAACGAAGCGAACGCCACAATAAAGCCGAGACCTCTCGAGAAGAGGTATCCGTGATTGTGGTCATCGATTATGTGATGCTTTTTGAGTAAATGATATCCAAACGCGAATAGCATACCGGCCGGAACGCTCTGGAGGGGAGAGGGTAGAAATGCAAGCATTATATACTCTGTTATTCAACAATTCAAACACAATTCGTACGTATCTATCGATTTTCCATCGAAACCACCACTCCTTAAGGGAATCATCTGTAGTGACAAACAACGCTTTCCACGGACGGGTCAGAAAGATCTTCTCGAAGAACACTTCAGACATATATAGGATTGTTATGATACTGAAGAGTACCACAAATTTTAACACTATATATAAGTATTGAATGGGATTTGCTGTCGGAATAACGAGAAAATCAATTAAAATCTATTTAAAAATACTCTTCAATGACACAAACCATCGGCAGTGACGGCAGTCACGTGAGGAATGGCGTAAAACGTGGCGTAAATAATTAGATACCAAAACGAAACGAGTGGCACAAAGTAGTAGAACTGATACGGCCTGTTCATACATAGGCAAAGACACACCACTAATAGATTGATCCGGAATATCACCTAAATATCATGTTTTTCATTTTAATGCAAATGCAATCAACAGTGCTTTCAAAATGATGGCAAACCTTCCACAAGCGATGGAAACTAACGAGAGGGCAGACGGTCTTCATGCACTTCACAGGTTTTGGCGACTCCTTATCTATACACCACTGGTTATCTGCCTATACGTATATCTAACAGTTATGAACTCTGCGCGGGCATATCACTATACGATAAGAACAACAAAATCACAGGAATATAATATTTTTGATGTATTGTAAAACTGCAAAACAAACCCAAAATAATCATTTGCATCCAACCCTTAAGTTCATCGGTTTGGTCGCGATGTAAGACAATTGTATGCGAAGACTCTTCCGTAAAGAAGAGGCCCAAAGCGAACACATAAGCCTACCCTTCCTTTTTCAACCCAGCTCACTTCATGAATAAGAGAAAGTATTTCTTTAATCAAGACAGCGTCTCCTTCTTCATTTTGTATTAATTGCTGTAAAACCGGTTTGTACAATAGTTGAGCATCAAGGACTTCACGTCCTCTTCAGAGGCGACAGCGGGTCGACTGCCGGTCGGCTCGTCGTCCATGTCTTCGTTCACCAATAGATGCCATTTGTATGACTTCGCGGAGAACTTTCGGTGACAAAAGATAACGATTGCGACCACAATGAAGAGCGCGAACACAACGAATACAATTAGTTGAAGTGTTGTAATCACTTCCGGGTCACTACAACAGGTGCCGTCATTATAGTTCATTTGATCGTTACAATACATGTTCAACAGTATCTGAATCGCGTAATTTAGCGCCTTTGGGCTCATGTGGAGGCCATCGTCGGTCGGATTACTGGAGTCCGAGTTATATCCCTGAGCGACGAGTCGAGCCGAGCCCCAGATGTGTACGTTATTGGATTGGCTGTACTTCAGTATCT